TTATACTTTCAAGAGTATTCTGTGAAAATTTCAGCCCAATCTGAGCAAAATTGACGAAAATATTGAACTTTTAATTCGATTACTATATGCCATCTGTAGCATTTCACGTCAATTCATTTTGTTCAGAAAATTCGTTATAAATAAAAAAATTTTCGGAAAAATCGAAATATCTCTACGTCAGTACCTGCTCAAAGGGTTTATAAAGAGCTGTGCAAATTTTCAAAAGGATCGGTTGAATACTTTTTTAGTGACGTTCCTCACCGATTTGAAAAATCTTAACGTAATGTTGTATCTTTGAACTGCGATTCCTCGAAATGATATTTTTCAAATCGGTGAGGAACGTCACTCAAAAAGTATTCAACCTATCCTTTTGAAAATTTGCACAGTTCTTTATAAACCCTTGGAGCAGGTACTGACGTCGAGATATTTCGATTTTTCCGAAAATTTTTTTGTTTATAACAACTTTTCCGAAAAAAAGGTCGATTTTTTATGTCTGGACGCAATTTTAACGTTTTTTTCAACTTCAAAATTACATCAAAATTCGAAAAATCACTATAATTGAAAAAACTCTACGTCAGTACCTGATAAAACTCATAAACTAATGAGGTAATTTTGCATTTTTCGGATGATTTTGTGAAAAGTTACGTTCCTCACCAGAATTTTCACGACTTTTCCGTAGATTTGCTCTCAAAGGTCCAAAAATGAAAATTTTTTCATGAAATTTTCACAAAATACTCTCGAAGTCATGTACTTTCACATGTACATTGTAGAAATAATTTTTTTTTTTTTTTTACTAGTAAAAAAAAAATTGAAAAAATTTTAAAAAATCGATAAATCNCCCCCCCCCCCCCCCCCCCCCCCTTAAAAGGCGTGGGTGTCGGCGCATACAATGGAATCCGATCACTGAAATTGTATAAATCGACAGTCGTCTCTATGAACGATGACAACGATGAATCTAAAAGGTACTACATTAAACATTTCACATTATACGTATTTCAAACCATTAAACGATTTCAGACTCCAAAACCAATTGGACTCTATCTGCCCGCCTTCCAAAAGTTGAACGAAACCAAGATCTAACAGCCCACGACAATTTATGTATTCTCTCAGTTATTTACGTATTATTTTTATTATTCCTGTATTATCCATGTAAGTTATTGTAATGGTTTTGCATATTGTTTTCGTACATCATCATACAATAGTGTACACATATATAGTTAAAAAGTTGAACTTAATTAAGAGCTAGCATCACGCGACACTATATGTATTATTTTTTTTATCTGTTTATTAATTTTGTTGTTCTTGTACTATTTATGTAGGTTATTATATTGCCACCGTTTAATATCGTCGTTTATGTTCAAGCAATAATGCACACAGATATAGCTTATACCGCAATTAAATATTTACTCGCGCGTTTTACATTTGCGTTACATATATGCAATCGTTGTTGCTCCACTGCATATTGTTATACTGTGCTTAGTTTTTTTATATCGTTTGCACTACATTGCTAAATTTACAATACTATATATTTATTTACGAATATATAATTGTATAAGATAATTATTTGTATAAATATGTTTTTTTTTCATGCCACATTTGATAAAACATAATTTTTTGATTTTCGGTAGACAAAATAAAATCCAAATATCATCAACTACGTTTAAAAATAACATTTTCACTATGCATTACTTATCCACTTAACATATAATAAGCCGTGAGATTTCCTATCGAAACCATTGGTTAATTTTTTTTTTCTGAGTGTATTTAGATACTTTTTACGCGAGATAGAAATTGAGTGATATCGCTTAATTACGCCGTGCGGTGACGCGCTAGGACACTTGGCGTGAAATGCCTCATATAGCAAGGAACACAACGACGCGCTCGTATCATTTCCACCATGATAGAAACACAACAGTAGCAGCATCAACGCATTTACTTCTATACCACATGGTCAATATACATCGCTTCTCATCGCGTACGTTCTCTGCGAACACCAACATAACAGAGAAATAGAATTACGCGATAACACTGTCGACGTTCCCCATGAAGAGTAGCTTGTTCTCATTTGAATTAACACACAAACATGCGACTTTTCGCGGGGAACGTCGATATGATGAATTTCACGTCACAACTCCCAACACGGCTGCAATGATTATTTCAATCTACTCTCGCTATATCCCGTGAAACATGCAAAAATTATAATATAAAACTTTAAAACCAATACACAAAATTATTACTATTGAAAAATCATAACGTATATTCTATCATTTCCGTATTTTTATATGTGTCAATATAATTGAAATCTTGATTGCACATAAAATCGGAACATGGGCATATACAAATATGTACTATATAAAACGACGCACATTTACGATCCTACCCATGTACATAATCCGAACCATAAGAATTATAATAAACGTACACGTCGTACGACGCAAAAAGCAACGCTTAATTTTTCGCGTGACAGAAATTACGAGATAATACTCGTTGTCGACCACATACATACAATTTCTACAGCACAGCTCCTTCAGTGATTGCACGACTACCGACATGTCGAATTCGAGCAGCGATTTAGAATTAAATGAGTAAATATAACCCCGACTACATATGCAAATTACATTTATAAACGTCTTATTAATTTTCTTATACATTTTATCCCACTGCATCAGATCGAGATTCACAGGAAAGGTCAACATGATAAGTCCGTTAACTCAACACGGGGAAGTTATAAAATATTACTTTCGCTTGAGAAATGCAATGGGATCGAAGCTGCAATTCATCGCAAGAGGGAATACAGCAATTCGACTCAGCTGAAGTGTTAGAGTGAGTAAAAACTTAAAAATTATCAAACAAATGTAACGCGTGCTTAACGTGAAATCCATACGATATCGTCATATTTGCATATAACTATTCACCGCACGAACCATATCATCAGGCACGGCGACGCGCTCCTTCTCTCGCTCTCTCTCTCTCTCTCTCTCTCTCTCTCTCTCTCTCTGCTCTCGTGATAATTGAAGCGCAAAACTATCGATTATAAATCTAAGCTCGTAATACATATTTATATTTACGATCTATACACTATATATAAATTATACGTATTTATTTTTTCTCGCGTTAGTTTATCGGCCTGGATCGCAAATGAGACAAAGAAATTCTACATATAAAGAAGATAGCATTTTTTTTCAACTCTGCATTTGCCACGCAATTATGAATATATTTTTACATTCATTTATTTATTTTTGCAGGTTGGGATGCATCTAGAGGTATCAAACTATACCACGCGTCTGAATCGAGACAACGGCGACATGGAAGCTTACCACGACACCGAGTCGGAGATACACGAAATGCGAAGACACATATTGTGAATGATATTTATGTTACAAAATATATTTAAAGAACCGTGAATAAGAAATACAAATAAATACACAAAAAATAAACATCATTTTTAATTACAATTATTCCATGACCATAAAATGCATTCAAGTATTAAATTATTAAATTAAATTATTATTAAATTATAAATTGTGCATTAAAATATTAATTATTGCATTAAATTATTTTTTTCGCGAGCCTATTTAATTTTTCTACTTTATCCTACTTACCACGGGATTCCGACGTTACCAACCGACTATAAATACTACACAACATTACCAAAAGTACACCGCAAGCCACATGTGTTCCGTTTGTGTTGTGATATTACAGTACTCACGCAGCTGGAGTGTACATTATACCATAGAACGCAGTTCAAGTTACTTCTGCTGCTTATTGTAAGTGAAATTAATTTATAATACATCGATTATATAAGTATTTAATCTTTACCAATTACAGCATTTAAATACGTTCTTATAAATAACGTCAGGTGTACAATGAGCATTTACTTTGTTTTTGTTCATTTTATAGTTTGTGTTTGATTTTCTCTTCGCCATGGGATCAACTTCTTCAACACCACTGAAACCAGATCTCGTACGTATTTTTTTATATTTATTGTATATCACTATCCCCAGTATTGCTACCTATTAAAATTTTTAATAAAATTACCACTTATAAATGCAGCCACCACTTGATACGACGCAGAAAATCGTTGAACGTCTTGAAACGATGGAGGAGAAGCAAGACGTCACGATGCAGACATTACAAGATACGGCAAAAATTATTGACTCACTGAAGAACAAATTGCAAGACGAAGCGAAGGTCCTCGCAATAGCACAATCGGAACCGCATACAACATCATGCTGTGCTCATCCACCAGCACTTGCTCCAACACCTTCCACGCAGTCTTGCTTAACAGGGCAAACTATAAAAATGGTGCACGTACTGCCTTTAACTCATTACCAGTCCACTGAAACCTCGTCTATGTCAAACATGCAAACGGAAAGCCCACCACTTCCAGTGATCCTGGTACAATCGACACCCTATTCACACGGTAAGAACTGCACTTCCCAGTTTTGTCACTCTTCATCAGTTCAATGATCTAAATTACAATTATCTCCGTGCATTGCGTTCCATTATAAATTGATTTGCATATCAAACCTTACCATATCAGCATACAGTACGCATACATTTTATTATTTTAGATACAGTACGAGTCCGATATCGCGGGAGCGGAGGCAACAGTCGCCGAAGGTGGTACGCCCAAAGAAACCAGCCTTACCGTCCCGGACGCTGACGCGCTAACTATTATACCAATAATCACAATCAAAACTAAATTAATTCATTGCATCCCTTGCATTGGCTCTGAACATCTCCACTTACTTTGTAATATACTTAATAATATTTCAGTACTAATTTAGTTACTTTTGTATATCATTATTTATAATTATAAATATAATTCGTATCAATGAATATGTGATTATTTACAACAACTTTCATTATTTACACTCAAATTACCCTTTTTACATAAATAATAACAACTTTTTCGATTTTATTTAAAAAATTTGGGCCACAATTAAAGATATCACAGTTTAAAGATATCCCTAATGTTACCAAAAAAACGAAAATTAAAGATTATTAGTGATTCGTACCCGTCTGACATCAAAATACCCGGAGATGATGTCATCGAGCTCTCTTCACTAACCTGGTGCACGAGGTCTACGAATCACGATCTACCAACTTGATCTCATTGATTCGTAACTGTCTGAAATAAAAATACCCGAATATGAAGTCGTCGAGCTCTCTTCGGTATCCCGCTGCACCAGGTCAACTAACCACTGCCTATTCACTTTGACTCATTGGTTTGTACCTGTATGATACTATTCGGCTTGTCAGTTAGTACGATCCGAAAATTACGAATATTCTCGAAGAAGTTTTCACATGAGCCCAGAATTTGATCCTATAACTTTTAACCAGTCACTTTCATCAGAAAATAACGAAAATTCTAGAAGATGGTTTTACATTGGCCAGTTCGGTGTCTTCGTGCACCAGGTCGACTGATTTTGGAAACCAGACCTTCAGCTGACCACCCTCAACGACCCTAGTGACACATACGCAGAAAACATTGTCACGCTTCAAAAAAACACTCATACTCACGCCAAACACACTATCACGCATCCATAACACACTCATACACATACCAATAACATCTAATAAATAGAAAAATATATCATAAAATTCGGCGGAAATTTTATACCGGAGAAGCCTGCACAGGGGCCAGATTGGTGACCTGGTGCACCAGGTCGACGGAATGTGGTTTGACGCTTGTTACCCAGTCAGTAAAACCCGAAAATAAAGAAAATTCCCGAAGAAGATTTCGCAGGGGCCAGATCGGTGACCTGGTGCACCAGGTCGACGGAATGTAGCAATCAGACCTTCAGCTGACCGCCCTCAACCGACCTAGTAAATTTCAGACCATTCCGTAACGCCGTTTTCCAGGAACCATTGACACAAAATAGGTTAATGAGTACCGAGCTAAAAGGATAAGAGACTTCGCTTCGCTGAGCATTAACTAACGTTTGAGTGGCTCGATGATCCGTTAGGTCGATAATACTTGCGCGTTTTCGAGTATTTCAAGGTCAAGTGCTTCGGTTCTGGCAAACATTCTCGGGCAGTTTGACAAGACAACGGCATATCATGAGATCATTGTCTTTTTTCCGGCGAAAAATGAGGTGATCATACCTATCGGCGATACTTGTGAGAATACGTATTCCCGCCAACTTTCGTCTGCAACTTTCACCTAACTTTGTACGCAGGAAGCCCATGTTAGAGTATCTTAGTTTAGAAAACTACCCTTATTGACGTTTGAGTGGCTCTATGTACCGTTAATTCGATAATACTTGCACGTTTTTGAGTATTTCAAGGTCAAGTGCTTAATTTCTCGAAAACATTCTCGGGCAGATCGTCAAGACAACGGCATCTGATGAGATCATTGTCTTTTTTCCGGCGAAAAGTGAGGTGATCATACCTATCGGCGATACTTGTGAGAATACGTATTCCCGCCAACTTTCGTCTGCAACTTTCACCTAACTTTGTACGCAGGAAGCCCATGTTAGAGTATCTTAGTTTAGAAAACTGCACTAATTGACGTTTAAGTGGCTCTATGACCCGTTAGGTCGATAATACTTGCACTTTTTTTAGTATTTCAAGGTCAAGTGCTTAATTTCTCGCAAACATTCTCGGGCATTTCGTCAAAACAATGGCATCTGATGAGATCTTTGTTAATTTTCTTGCGAAAAGTGAGGTGATCGTACATATTGGCGATACTTGTGGGAATATGTATAACCGCCAACTTTTGTCTGCAACTTTCACCTCACTTTGTACTCAGGAAGCCCATGTTAGAGTATCTTAGTTTACAAAACTACACTAACTTACGTTTGAGTGGCTCTATGACCCGTTCGGTGGACAATACTTGCACGTTTTTGAGTATTTCAAGGTCAAGTGCATAATTTCCCTCAAACATTCTGGGGCAGATCGTCAAGACAACGGCATCTGATGAGATCTTTGTTAATTTTCTTGCGAAAAGTGAGGTGATCATACAAATCGGCGATACTTGTGAGAGTACATATTTCCACCAACATTCGTCTGAAACTTTCAACTAACTTTGTACGCAGGAAGCCCATGTTAGAGTATCTTAGTTTAGAAAACTACACTAACTGACGTTTAAGTGGCTCTATGACCCGTTAGGTCGATAATACTTGCACTTTTTTTAGTATTTCAAGGTCAAGTGCATAATTTCCCTCAAACATTCTGGGGCAGTTCGACAAGACAACGGCATATCATGAGATCATTGCCTTTTTCCCGGCGAAAAGTGAGGTGATCATACATATTGGCGATACTTGTGAGAATACGTATTCCCGCCATTTTTCGTCTTCATCTTTCACCTAACTTTGCACGCAGGAAGCCCATGTTAGAGCATCTTAGTTTAGAAAACTACACTAATTGACGTTTGAGTGGCTCTATGACCCGTTAGGTCGATAATACTTGCACGTTCTTCAGTATTTGAAGGTCAAGTGCTTAATTTCTCTCAAACATTCTCGGGCAGTTCGACAAGACAACGGCATATCATGAGATCATCGCCTTTTTCCGGCGAAAAGTGAGGTGATCATACATATCGGCGATACTTGTGAGAATACGTATTCCCGCCAACTTTCGTCTGCAACTTTCACCTAACTTCCTACGCAGCAAGCCCATGTTAGAGTAAGTGAGTTCAGAAAACTACACTAACTGACGTTTGAGTGGCTCTATGACCCGTTAGGTCGATAATACTTTCACGTTTTTGAGTATTTCTCGCAATTGTTTCAGTTTTTGGCCTACCACGTATATATTTTTCTTGTAGGAAATGACATTTTTAACAATTATTTTTGTACCGTCTTTCAACATTATACAATTATTTCTACTATCGTGGATTTTTATACTCCATGAATGTAAAGATAACATCTTAAATTGGGCTTCAATATTTGTAAGTTCATTTGGCACAATTCCATCAAAGTGTCCAGGACTGGCTTTAAATTTATTTTCGTTTTGATCGATATTTTTAGACACGTTTTTAGATTCGTACTCTGATAGTCTTCTGGCGATCGGTTGCAACGGTTTTTCACCTTTATTATTATTTTTTTTATTGAACATAAATAATTTTTAAACGGAAAAGCAGAAAATGATTCTAAGGGTCCGTACTTCATAACATCTTTGGTTATATGTTAAAGACAATGAACATTAAAAGTAACGTTTTCTTTACCATATATCTTTTTAAATGTATCGTGAAATTGAATGATTAAATTTTCGGCATATAAAACATTTTCTTTCTCTTTTGATAATACAGGGCTTGTAAGAATTGTTATACTCAAGTGAAATATTAAAAAATTTAAGTATAAATATTTTTTAAGAATATTTTTTAAGACAATTGGTCCCATATATAGAAGAAAATGACGATATTCAGTCGCTTTCCAATTCTTATAATCGGTTATAGCTCTACACCGTGTATTAAAATTATCTGGCATTGTGTACTTCAAATCTTTTAGCATATCATCGATAAGATTAATTTGATCGGCCGTAAGTTTATAATTTTTATTATTTCGCCCTTTATCGCCTAACCAAAGTTTTATTAACAATTTTGTTACGCCAAGGTATGCCATATGCATACTATCAATCGGAACACCAGAAACAAGGCCAATGCGTTGAAGTTGGTTTAGTATCGATACATTTTTTTGATAATCATCTTCATAAGCAAAATTTTTGAAATTTTCATCAGTTCTTAGTAATTCGTGACAGTAACGTTTGGTCATACTTGTATTTTGTGTTTGAAAACATACAGTTCTGTTATAAGAACTGCCTTCTATAAGACACTTGCTGCATGAGCAGTATCCTGTGTGATACTTCGAACACAAAATAAATGCCTTGGCCGGAGCAACAAAAATAAAACCAAAAATTTCAATAAAATAAATGTCATTGTTGTGAGAACATTTTCCAACAAATCAATAGCTTCTGTGGTAAAATCTTTTACAAATACGTTTGGATCCTGAGGTTTTTTTCGTCCTAGAAACACTCCTATCAGATGAACAATTTTAGAATCAAGATCTTTGCATAGAATAGTTCAAAGACCTTTTTCAGATGATCTTCCTACTAGTGGAGCCCCATCTATATTTACAAGTAGCTTAATAATTTTTTTTTCTTTATCTTTAGCTAACTTTTGGTATTGAATTATTGTTGTCCCGGCTTTTTTCAAACCAATATGACAATATTCACCGTCATCCATTTGTACAACATTTGTCACTCTGGGAGTTTTTAAAATAGTTCTGGGATCTTTAGGAAATTTAACATCAGTATGTTTATTCAAAATAGATAATAAATCTCTCAAACTATTATGATTTATTTGATGATCTTTTGCCCAAGTCTCGATATCTTTAATGAATACTTGACTTTTTGGTAGTTCCAAGATATAATGTTCATTATTATCCTGATTACTCTCACTGTCAGAATCAAAGTCTAAAATGCTCTCGGCATCGCTATCACTATATCTATGCGGGAATATGAGATCCCGGGTCTCGGTGTTGCGAGGAAGGTGCGGGCTAGGTGATGAATAATTAGAGCACAGCTTGATTAACGAGGTGGATTTATTCAATGCGCTCAGCTCGAGAGCTGCAATACAAGTGACGAGTTCCCACTGCCCGCTCTCCGCGCCACCTAACTGCGCAGTGGAGAGAGGGAAAGGAGGGGAGTATCCCCACAGTGGTATAGGGTGGAGAAAAAAAAAATTTTTTGCGTCACAGTGAAGATGCAAAACAATTTTTTTGTACAAGTTACATAAGAAACGATTAACAGCTTTTTAATTATTACAAAATGCAAAAATCTTAAGAACTACAAAAACCTTTTTCTTTTTTTTTTTTTTTGGTCTGATAAAATATCTCTAATTACTGTATCTAATTATTGTTTGACTTAGTTTAATCTGACTCCATTTTTTTAGTTTGATTACTAAGTAAGTTAAGTAGGTTAACAATCTTTAAGCGCCTTTAAACAGTCTTTAAGCTTAGTCTTATTGAAAGAGATAGAAAAATATTGGCTTAAGAACTAGAAGGTACAAAAATAAAGTTAATTTTCGCGAAAAGTTTTGTGCGCAGCACTGTACGCGTGATCGTCGCGAAACCTGACTGATTTCTTTTTTTAATTTTTGGATTTGACTATGTTTGATTGCTTATTATCTAGCACTTTGGGCTTGCGAGGCTGCTTTGACGTTGAATTAGAAACAATGCCTTGTGCAGTTTTTTGATCCGATACAACTTCTTCGTGATCGAAGTCGTCCTGAAGATCTGTATTCTGTGTATCATACTGATTAGTTTGCGTACAATTATCGTCGCGCGCGAGTACAACAGGATTTTCCGTGTCGTGAAAGGTGCCGAAGGCTGGTTTGAGTCTACTAGTCGAGTCGGTCTTTAGATCCATCGTGCCCTTCTCGTTATACACTCTTACTACGTAAAAATATTTAGAAGGCTTCGCATGAATGTAGTAGGGGCCAAGATAAGGTGGATCCAAGGCTTTTTTGATAGAGTTGGCGCGCACGAACACGTGTGTGCAAGTGTCCAAGCACTTATGCACGAAGGGTTTGGTCTGATCGTGGGGAAAGACGGGGACAGGCCTCACGGCCTTCATGAAAGCTCTAAGCTCTGAAGTAAAGAAGTTTCGGTCATCCTCCTGGTCTTGATCGGAAAAGAATTCGCCCGGCAAGCGAAGAGTTGAGCCGAAGAGTATCTCTGCGGGACTAGCATTGATGTCGGAGCGCACGCATGTGCGAAGTCCGAGCATGACCAGGGGAAGAATTTTAGTCCAGCCTTCATTACTTTCAAAGCACATGAGGGCGCTTTTGAAGTCCCTGTGCCAGCGCTCGATTATCCCGTTACACTGAGGATGGTAGGGCGTGGTGCGAGTTTTCTTGGTGCCAAGAAGCTTGCACAAGTTTGTGAAAAGCTCGCCCTCAAACTGCCGACCTTGGTCCGTGGTTATTACCTCGGGAGCCCCGTAGCGCGCGACCCAAGTGTCTACAAATGCCCTGGCGACCGTGGTCGCATGCATGTCCGCGATCGGCACTGCCTCAGGCCAACGAGCGTACCTGTCGATCATAGTGAGCGCGTGGGAGTAGCCTTCACTGGGGACAAGCGTCACTATGTCCAAGTGGACATGAGAGAAGCGATCGTCCGGTAAGGTGAATCTGGCCGGAGCCAGTTTAGTGTGTCGTGCAATCTTGCCCTGTTGGCAAGCAAGACAGTGCTTGACCCACTGAGCGATGTCCTTGGACATATTAGGCCAGACAAACAAGTGCGAGGGCATCTATGTTGCCAATTTGAGCGGGTGACTGAGCTCGATCCTCATCGTTTTGAATGCGGGAAAGGGCATCAGCCACTGGGTTCTCAAGACCCGGGAGGTATTTGATCGAGGTGGTGTACTGGGAGATGTATGCGAGCTGACGTTGTCTCACTATGGGGACATGCTCCGGCGCCTGAATAAAGGCATATTGGAGTGGCTTGTGGTCGCACCAAACATCAAAATCCCGGTTGTCCAACTGAGAGTGGAAGTATTTAATTGCCATGTAAATGGCGGTAAGTTCGAGGTCATAGGGCGCGTTGACCAGAGGAAAACTTTTTTGAAAAGAAGCCTAGTGGCTGCCAACCGACGTCTGTCAGCTGTTCCAACGATGCTCCAACCGCAATCATGGTTGCATTCACGAGTGCTGATTTGCAATCCAGAAACGCTTGCTTGGCTTCCTGAGTCCAGAGAATGGGTGTGAGATCTCTTTTTTTCTGGCCTGTCACTAAGGTGGTGAGAGGCGCTGAGAGGCTAGCTGCATGCCGAATGAAGGGCCTGTAGAAGTTAAGTAGTCCCAAAAACCTACGCAACTCGTCGATGTTACGAGGCTGGGGAAAATCTAAAATTGCTTGTACCTTTTCCTTTAGAGGAACAAACCCTTTTGCGCTAATTGTGTGGGATAAGAAGGTGACTTCTGATTTTGCAAAGGTGCATTTATCTACGTTGAGACGAAGGTTGAATTTATGCAGACGAGATAGGACAATTTCAAGATGTTGCTCATGCTCTTCAGCAGAGGCTGATGCCACCAGGACATCATCTATGTAGACGAATGTGAAGGGAAGATCGCCAAGGGCTTCATTGACGAAACGCTGAAACGTCTGAGATGCACTCCTGAGCCCGTAAGGCATGAAAAGGAATTCGAAAAGACCTATGGGTGTAATCAGCGCCGTCTTGGGCACGTCTTCAGGCGCCATGGGTATTTGATTGAAGGCCTGGTGCAGATCGAGCGTTGAGAAGATTGTCTTGCCATTGAGAATGTTGGTGAAGTCTTTGAGATTGGGTACGGGGTACTTGTTTGGGGCGGTTACTGCATTAGGTTGCGGTAGTCGCCACACACAAGGAATTCCCCCGGTGTTTTTTTGGGAACGATGTGAATCGGGGACGCCCAAGGACTATTTGACGGCCTACAGGTCCCTTCATCACACCATTCCTTAAACTGTAGTCGTACAGCCTTTAGCTTCTCGGGTGTAAGCCTTCTGGCTTTTTGAGCAATAGGCTCGCCCGTGGTTGGAAGCTTATGGAAGATGGCTGTGACACGAGTGCCGTTAGGTGTAGAAGGCCTAAAAGCTTGAGGGTATTTGTGAGAATTTATCAACGAGGTGCTGTTTGAGTTTACCATATTTGTTTGGTTCAGTGTCGGGTAAGGATTTCAAGAACGACGATACTCTTTTACAAACGTCCACACCGCAGTGTGTGATCACAGCACAATATCTTAGGTGATCGTCAGTGATGCCTAGCATGAGCAATTCGCTCTCCAGGATCTTGAACCACAAGATAGGATCGTGTAGAAAGAACTGTGGCACCTTGATGGGCCTGTTACTGTACCTGGGGGGCGCAGGTATGGAAGATGGGTCAGAACTAGCCTGTGCGTTGCCCGTGGAAGGCCCCATCTGCTGGAAACCTGGTGGACAAGAGTACCTGAAAGCCTGAGGGCTGGCAGCATCTGCAAGAGCAGACTGCTGAAGGCCAGCGTAGCCTGTGAGCGGAGGCTGTAGATAGTTTGAGCCACCGAAGCTATTAAATTGCTGAGATGGCGTCCACGGTTGCAGCAGACTAGCCGTTGTTGAGGTAGCTGTCGACAAAGATGCTCCGGAGAAGGCGGAGCTTGTTGTCTGGAGGCTGCTACTGATATGAGAGCTGACACTTGGGTTGAACAAAGATAAATTGGCTGTCAGACCCAGGTTGCTCCCTGTGAATGGCCTGTCTTGAAACTTGAATGACCTGCTGCCAACAGTGAAGGTTGACGTAGGCAGGCCGAAGGCATTTGTCATTGATAGTGGGGGCTTTGAGTCCGAGGTCGGTACGTTCGAGGTTTGAACGACACCTGCGGATGATAGGGCAGGCAGCTGAGACTGCGAAGCATTGACTGCCTGAAGCTCCTGCAATTGAAGTTGCAGAAGAGCCAGCTGTTCTTCGGTTTGCGTCAGCTTAGTCTGAAGTTTGAGCTCGCGTTGAGTGGGCTCCTCGTCTTCGGACAAAATAGATTTGTTGTTGTCGTTCAAGGACTTGGAAGCGTTTTGGTCCTCTGGAGATGACATGATGAGCGAAGGCAAGAGATGAATGACACACCACAATAAGCGACTGAGATAACACTGGAAGTGTCAGAGGTGCAGAAGAGTAGCACTACACGTGGGCCTCAGAGTGGCAACGAGTAGGGGCAGGGCGGGGACTAAGACCGTCTGTAGTGACTCTCTAATTACTATGTTGCTACGAAGTTCCTAAATTTTAAATTTAAATACTTAAAGAAAAATAAATTGTTTAAAATTATCACCTTGATACTAAAAAATGTTACGCAATGTTTACTTAATTGTTCGTGCACTTTTGCCTGAAAAGCGAAAAAAAAATTAAATGAATTAAAAACGCGTAAGTGTTTATGCACTAGCACAGCACGTTAACGATGCGAAGTGTAGCTCGGTGAACGATGTGTGGCGCCATACTAAATTGCAGAGTAACAGCGCAGACGACGCATGATGCGTGGCGCCATACTAAATGCAGCGCAGCTGGAAGTGTAGACGGCGGCTAAAGTCGACGACGTCACGCCGCGTGGTCCGCAGCCCGAAGTTTGCTGTCGCGGGGAGGCGGCACGCCGGCGGTAGCAGCACTTGTAGCTTGGACGCACACGCCGCCTAGCTGAGGGAGGCCGCACTCTCGCTGTAACGGTCGATGAAGAAACCGATGGTGTGAGTGCTCGCGCACCGGAACTGCGCAGCGGAGAAGAAGCAGTGGCGGGGCGCGCTGAAAAGGCGCGCAAGATGGCCGCTCCTCGTGGTTGCTATGACGCAATGAACGCACGTGTCGGGCCAGGCGCCGCTGAGATGATGATAGCCCACCGCGTGACAGGCGTCGACGTGCGGCGAGTGGCTCCGGTGGGTCGGGTGGCAGGTGCCGATGCACGACCTGATGCTCGTTGCATAGTGGGGCAGTTGCTGATGCACTGTGTGATGCTCGATGACGACGATGCCGATGGAAGACAGCGAGGCAGGTGCCGATGCGCTGTTGTTGTTGCTGCTCCTTTGTCCTATTCTAGAAACACGGGAGCTGACGAGGCGATTGGGGATTAAACGATGCACGTCGCGCCACCATCGGTCGATTGGTGAACCCTCGAGCCGCCCGAAAATCCACAAAATAACACGCAAAAATGATGAAATTAATTAATTGCAAATTATCCCAAGTGATATATGCATGAAATTTAATTGAAAATCAAAGCTTATGTGATAACAAATTTATATAAAAAAAATCTCATTGTAAACTTCTTCTAATTTTGAATTATCGTATACTGTAAATCAAGCTGTATACGTCGGAGATTGAAGTTTGAGAGTAGGTATATGCTAAGACGTCTGCTCGCAGCTGAAGCATACGCAAGCTCGTGTTTGAGTTCGTATAAAATACACAGGTTTGAGTAAACAAATACGATGTCGAAAAAAAACAATGTNATATGTATTGCACTTTCAGAGTTTGGTTGTGCTAAAATAATATATGCAAGTGAGTTAAATGAAAACACAGAAATTATTAACATATCAAAAAACTCTTACCTGAAGTCAATGTTTCAAAAAATATCTTCTTTAATTCATCTGAGACTTGATACTTAATTTTTGCATTTGGTGTATTAAAGTGACAATACTGATGTATGGGAATAATTTTTTGATACGGCAGATTTAAATGTTTCTTAACTTTGCCCCATTTCTGTCTTACGTCAGTGCAACTCAGTTCTTGTAAATTTTCTATCTGATATCTAAAATGATATATTGTTTATAAGTGTAACATAACAATATTACATTAAGTTTACACATGTAATTGAAACATTCATTAATCACCGCTTACCTGTTAACATAAAGTAATGAGCCAAAAATGTGTTTGCATTTTCCACCTGCCCCAGCTGGACACGTACAATGACAGCAAATAACTTTCTTACATTCAGAAACTTCAACTTTTAACGTAACTTCATGTGGTATATCATTAATTTTTGACGTTTGTGTCACATAGGAAACAATTAAGATCTCTTGATCGGTACGGTATTTGAATCCACATAAAACAATGTGATCCGCCAAGAAAATTTGCTCAGCTTCGATGAAAGGCCTTCTATAGTCACCCAATATTTCTAATATATCAAATAAACTTATTTCTAACTTTGGGAGATTCATTTTTACTTTTCTCTCTGCCTCGCGTTTGCAACAATAGCAAAAACAATTGCACATCGTCCATCAAGTTGAATCGGCGCGTCGGGTCGCGGACTGTCATCGTAACTTAATAATACGATAATTTAAAATTGGAAAAAGTTTACAATGAGATTTTTTTTTATATAAATTTGTTATCACATAAGCTTTGATTTTCAATTAAATTTCATGCATATATCACTCGGGATAATTTGCAATTAATTAATTTCATCATTTTTGCGTGTTATTTTGTGGATTTTCGGGCGGCTCGAGGGTTCACCAACCGACCGATGGTGGCGCGACGTGCATCGTTTAATCCCCAATAGCCGAGACGCAAAGTTATGCGCGACACAAAAATGTTCACTCGCGTGCAGGACTGTGCCTGTTCGAACGTGTTGCTGTGCGAGGGAGAGATGCGTGCACGACGTCAAAATACGTTGTGTGCGAAGTTCGTGAAGCGCGAAAACTAATGGCTGCCGTTAAGGCGTATTTTGAGATTCACGATGTTGCGTTGTGTGCAGAGAAACACGCACTGAAAAGGTAGTTGAAATTGATAGTAACTTTTCGATGAATTCAATTCTCGCAAGAGCCGGTGGCTTTTTGCGACTTTTTTGCACTCACAAAGATGGTGGTTTGCACTAAAATTTTCACTCGCGAGATTTCCGTGTTCGCTGGAAAACGAGGTGGTCACCACTGCGGGAATATGAGATCCCGGGTCTCGGTGTTGCGAGGAAGGTGCGGGCCAGGTGATGAATAATTAGAGCACAGCTTGATTAACGAGGTGGATTTATTCAATGCGCTCAGCTCGAGAGCTGCAATACAAGTGACGAGTTCCCACTGCCCGCTCTCCGCGCCACCTAACTGCGCAGCGGAGAGAGGGAAAGGAGGGGAGTATCCCCACATCTATACTCGTCTTCACTATACTGATATTCAGAATCAGTATTAAAATCACTGTCAGTGCTTGACAAATTGTCATAAAATTCATTGCTAAAATCTTCTTGAACTTCGAGAAAATTTTTTATATCATCAATAATCTCTTCACCATCGAACGTATCAATGCGATTATCAGAAAACATGCGTATTTCATTCAAAGAAGATTGGGACGTAGATGGTAGAGATGGGGACGTGACCAAACTTAAATCTTTAGACTTGGAGATATTGTCACTAGCGCATACTTCATTTGGAATGACATCTTTTAAAATATTTTCTAAAAAATCATTCGCTTTATTTTCAGCCTTTCTACGCATTTGTCTATCAGTCACACACAATTTTCGCGTCTGTCGAGGCATTGTTATCTGCAATTTTATTTATTGATCATTCTCAAATTCTAACGAAAAATTAAGGAAAAAAATTTTAAATAAGTTTTAGGTCAACAAAAAATTATTATAATGAACACTAGCTAAAATAATTAAGCCAACATGATAATGAACCAATAAATCGACAGCGTCTCTAATAAATGGGTAATTGGATAATTTAAAACCACGTGTCAAGGGAATTTTTTCGAGACCACAACGCAAACGTGAAAAAAATTGCGATAAAAGTCGGTACGAATTATAGATAAAATGGTTATCCTATTCATTCAATAAAACTGACGCACTCATCAGAATTAGAAAACTATTTGAGCTACGACTGCTAGGTTTTGAATCCTTTCCTAGTTCAGCAATTTTTTTCAAGTATTTGAGTGAAACTTTTTATGCATAAATTATATATTTTGAGAAAAATGCGTATAAAACTTATGCAAGGTGACTCATAAATTACATCTTTCACTTCAGTATGTGTTGATGCCCAATGATCTCCTAAAATTGTGTAAAAACCTAGTTGGAGCATTTTAAAGGTTTTTTTTTAAATATAGTGACAGACAAGAAAAAAACATGATTTGCCAAGAAATGCAAAGAAATACGAGAATGACACAAAAGATATAAAATTTCTCAAAAAACGACAGCTGTATCTCAAGAAGCAATTGAGGTTTTTATATTCTGTAAATTGAATAGAATAAAGGGAAAGGTTGTCTATATTCTATCTAAATTCAGAACAGATTGAACATATATTCATGAATCTATGAACCTTTTAATTGTCCTTCATGCCCTATTAAAAAAATGTATAGCTCAGTTGCAGCAAAATAGTTAATTGGACATTTTATCTGAAATATTTCCAAGTTTTCAAAAAAAAAAAAATGTTCAAAAGTAGTCAGACAGTTCTCATCATGTGCTACTTAATATCATATATATTAAAAATATATGGGTCACATCTTACTTAGAGGGGTATTTTTTATGAGCAAAACCCTGATAAAAGTTTTCAAGCAGAAGTTTTTTCAACTAATTGCAAGCACAGTTTTACAATCATCCATGACACACTACATATGTACTCTATAATTTACTACACAAGTAACTATATACTTTTTTCTTCAAAATTTTTTGTCTGTATATAGAAACTTTACTCTATTGCCAAACCTTCATACTATTATCTGTGACAGTTTAAGTTTAGAATGATCATATTCTTGGAGTCGAGTTGTCATTTATCCTCTTAAAAACAGTACTGCTGCCAATGTATAGAAAATGTATTAAAAATTAATTTTTTCCGGCTAGTGCAACTTTGTATGCTCATAGGTTACTTGATTTATAATAATAAAGTTTTTAAATTTCACTATTCAAGTAGAATTTTGAAATGTATATATTTGAATCTTCATCCACACTAAGCTATTCTCAGGAAGGAGTGTACTTTATAAAGAAGACGATAAGAAACTTAACAGGTAGCAACGTTCAGTTTCAGCGACTGTAACATTGTACTCACCGAGATCATCAAGCATTATCTAATTTATTGTCGGTTATACAAATTAAACATTTGAGTCAAGTCAATATATCTAGATAATATTCAAAGTTATACTTTCAAAAGTATGTACAATAGTTTTAAATGAGCATTACGGTATGATGAGTGCAACTTGCATTAGAAGGTTAGGTTAATGGGACACAGATTTTTCATTGATTAATTGAAATTTTTCATAATTATATTCATTTTAACATTAACCACAATTAGTAAAACAATAATTGAAAATGCTTCTGTTATTTTATACGTATAATATCGATATGATATAGCTATTCAGTAAGCTGCTTACCTGGATGATGCGATTCTGTTCTTCTCAAGTTTATTTCTCCCAATTAATCTCTCGAGTTTAGAACGGTTCGTTGCTGACAAGCTAATTGCAAGTGATGATTCGATTATAAAAGAAAAATTGTTGTTAAAAAGTTAATGAAAGTCTGCGTACAGAGGGTCTCATACAAAATAGGAATGACGTCACTCGGCCAATGGAAACAAGTTGGTTCCAAAAATCGCGTATTATCGTTCCATCGTTTTCCGTTGTCAATGTAACGACCTGGAAATTAGGCCATTTACACGCAATTCAACCAGGACTTTGCAATCAGTACTATAAATAGGAGATTCTGTAGAATATCAAAAACTTCTCTCAAAAGACGTCTAATTGAGGCTTTGAATATGCGGTTAAGCCTAGAGACGTTTCAATTCACATCGGCCAGACTGCGGTGAGCCCATTTGAATATTGATTTTTCGAAAATCGCGTATGTCGTACAATGTTTTTTAGTCTAGGGATGTTCGATACAGTGAACCTTATCGATACATCGATACCGATACGGCTCACTGCCTTAATATCGATACAAGAGATATTAGATTCGAAAAATATCGACACGTTCGATATGTTGCAAAAAAACTTGATACAACAATTTTCCATAAATAAACTCCAAAATTACACATTTTTTCCTTTTTTTTTTTGAATTGACAATATATATTAAGTATTGCACGCTCGACCAGACAGTGCGCTCGCGCGAGGCGTTTATTAATGTATGGAAACTTTCTTACTCGCAATGGTTGGTGTAATTACGTCTAAAAGAATATTGCGCACATTCATTCCGATATATTTTTGTCTGTTTTTTTAAATAGTCGTATCGGTTTTTCGAAAAAAAGATAATTTACATGGAGACAATTTCTTTAAAGTTAACTCAATTTTTCGGCAAGTATGCTCCTCTTGATTTTATTCGTAGATATCTCAATCTATAGGTAATTGAATAACGAAGTTTTGTGTACAATTTCAAGTTGGAGACTCAAACGGATCAAAAGTTATGGACAATTAGGTAGCAAAAAACGTGGTTTTTGGACGAATTCTATCTCGTTGCGCAACTATTCTCGTTGACTCTTGTTATCCCCTCTCCTACCGGCTGAGCGGAGAGCAGCCGCACGCTGCCAGAATTCGTCCGAAAATCACGTTTTTTGCTATTTAATGGTCCATATTTTTCGAACCGTTTGAGTTTCCAACTTGAAATTTTACTCAAACCTTCGTTATTAGATTACCTATCGATTGAGATATCTACGAATAAAATGAGTTAACTGTCAAGTCAATTTTCTCCCTGACAATTAACTTTTTTCAAAAAACGGATACAACCATTTGAAAGAACAGGCAAAAATCTATCGGAATGCATGTGTAGAATATTTTTTCAGTCATAATTGCACCAGCCACGGTGCTATGGTATCATTCGTACACATGAAACTCGTACATGGGCATTTCTTTACAGAAGTAAAAAGGGTCCAATATTTGTACATATAATCGAACTTTTTTTTAAATCCCAAAAATTACGATAACGATTATTGTTTGATTTTTTTTTTTTTTGAATTTAAAAAAAAAGTTCGATTATGTGTACAAATATTGGTCACTCTTTACTTGTGTACAGAAATGCCCATGTACGAGTTTTATGTGTATGAATGATAATTAGCCGCCAGGGCCAGTTAGAAAAGTTGCGATACATTAAAAAATGCCCGATGTTAAAATAGTATATTTTGTAACAAGTGCGCGAAGCAGTTGACTCACCCAGGAGTTGTTTTCACCCGAGCGTAGCGAGGGTGCAAAGACTCCTGGGTGAGTCAACTTCCTCGCGGACTAGTTGCAAACGATATTTTTTAACTCTGCTTGCGAGAAACTAGGGTTTTCTGACGCTTTAAGGTTAGAAAGCCCGTGTTTCGCGCACGCAGTGTTAAAAAAAACAAAAGCACGCATATCGCATAGTAGTATATGCTGCTGCCTTGTCTGGCTAATCGCTTACCGTCGGTTGT